GTGCATAAGCATAATTAGTGCAGTATTCTTGATTATTTAATAAATAATGCCTTAAAGTATTATATGCCACTTTTGTTAAAACACTCAAAATTCTAGTGTATTTCAGCTACGTAGTATTGCTGGGAAGCTGGCAACAATTGAACAGTATGAGCATATGTCAGTTGTGCAGTGTATAATTCTTGATTTTTGATAAAGTGTCTGTAAAAATACACTTTAACCCTTTGACTGTTTTGGTCGTATATATACATCTTACGAGCCAATGTGTTTGACGTATATATACTAAAAAATTCTAGCGGCTTCTGATCAAGCAGGAGAAAGCTGGTGGGCCCACGTGTGAGAGAATGGGTCTATGTGGTCAGTGTGTGCAGTATAAAAAAATCCTGCAGCAAACAGTGCGTAATGAGAAAAAAAAAAACTCTGACCATGTTTTTGGATTAAAATGTTGATTTTGAGGTGTATTTTTGTACAGTTTTATGATTATATTCTTGTTTTCGTAGTCACATTGATAGAATGGAAAGCATATTATAGAAATGGAGGTGATTTTGATTGGTTTTACTATGAAAAGGACCTTGAAATGGAGCTCAAAGTAGGGAAAATGTTTGATTTTTGCCGATGTTCAAGAGTAAACAAATGATGTCATTGTGCAATAAATGTCCAACTAGCCATTCTAATATGCAGTCATGAATGGGTTGACATTATTTATGCAATTATTACAACATTGCAGTAGTCTGCATAACAGTAAATCTTCTATTGTTTGTTTGAATAAAAATTCAAAATAGAAAGCAAGAGTAATATCAGAGGGGCCTGGAGATGTGACTGTTGAACAAAGAAAATGTTATTTTAGAGCCAGAAATGTCTGCATTGCTCATTCTGGACCCTATTTTGAAATTGGCATATTTTTTAATTTGTGTGAAATTGGCCAAATTGCCAATTTCTGACCACTTCATTGGGCAGTTGAAATCGGTAAATGGGCAGTTTCTTGTACTCAGTTGATAGAACAGATGGAGTTCTAAAGAAATAGCTATGAGTTGGTCGACTGGAACAATGGTATTAGCCAGAAATAGGGCTCAAAGTGGACGAAGTCGCCGATTCGTAGATACAATGTATCGCCGAGGTCACTAACTTTGCAAGAGTGTAATTCTGTAAGTTTTCCATCAAATTTCGTACTTTTGGTGTCATTACCATTGGGAAAAGATTCTCTATCATTTCATAAGTTTTTTTTTTTTTTTTTTTTTTTTTTTTTTTTTTTTCCAAATATTTTGTTATACCAGGAGACACCTCAGGATTTGAGGTTGCGACAGTCAAAGGGTTAAATATCTTAATTTGGTGGGTGAATTCCGACTTCAGATTTGCAATAAGCATATTTGAGTTGATATAGGGTATACACATGTGCCTCAGTAACAGATTTTTTTTTTTTTGTCCAGCATAAATTATGGTGCCAATCAAATTTTTTGTTAATTTTTTGTCAAAGATTTTTTTTGTTGCAATAAACAACAGCACTGTGCAAGCAATACTGCCTACTAAAGAGAGGCAAAATCATCACATTACAGGTGTAAAGATGCATGCTCCTGTTTGGCCATGCTGGTCATGCTGAATTTAAACAAAATACTTCTGGGGTGTATGCTAAGATAATTATTTAATAAGCATCTTTTTAACATGCCTGTGTGTCATGCATGTAAAAGGGAAGTTGTACAATCACTTTCTATAGTTTACTTGGTGGTGCATTTTTAAAACAACAATGATAATGACTTTAAATTATATTTCAGAGAAGCAGACATACTTAGCAGGTAAAGTTGTGGCCACAAGCAAGGGTGGTCTCTAGCTTGTAGATTACTGTTTCTCAGCCAGATTTACCAGACGACCCACGACTTGTTTTGAGATTTACTCTCGAGTCCCTATTGGGTGCTGTTCTCCACTGTTTGAGAAACCCTGCATTAGATTAATGGTTTTGTAGAGTACTTCTTAACTTTGAAGTATGTATAATTCTTAAACTTGATGCTTTTCATTTTGCATGGGCTTCCTTGCTTTTTTTTTTTAATTACTCGTTTAGTGAAGATAGATCAGCATCATCATCTCTATAGTGGCTTCTTATTGCTTTCACGTACACTGTACCCTTATTATTTTTTTCCGTTTTATGTACCATAATTCCTATATTTAAGTGAATAGTGGGTGGCCGCTTGGATGGGTAGTAGAGTAGATGATAAAAACATGAATTGACAAATATGATACGGTATATACCTGAATAAACAATGCATGATCAGAAAGTTAGGTTATTGATAGGGAGATGGAAGGATTTGGCAAGATGTACAGGAAAATAGATGAATGTGGGAACAGTTCTCTGAACACCGATGGAGTAATGAAGGGTATTTTGGGTATAGGATGGCTTGTTTAATATTATCATTTATGAAGTTAGAGGCTTTGCCACATTTGTGGTATATCTTTATTGGTATATTATAATACCTTTTTGTATGGTTATAAAAGATCTTTATTGACGGCAACTATGTAGTACTCCTTCCACCTACTTCAATATATATACACTTGGACTTTTTTTTCCATAAAAACTACAAAAAAAAGTCCATAGACCACATTTACATTTCATCTGTAATGATGCTTTACCATTTAACCTGTAAACGGTCCAAACGTATATATGTATACGTTCACTACCCCAGTGCCCTGAATATTTTGAAAAATAAAATTTTTTTTTTTTTCATTGAAAAAAAGAGCATTTTTTCTAAGTGTTATAGGATATAAAAAAATTTTTTTTTTAGGGTCAGTACTTACTGAGATATGAGGCCGCAAAGTTGGCACTTGGAGATCACCTGGCGGCAACATGGAGCACTGCCGCTTGCAGAAGTGTTGCCGATATATATATATATATATATATATTTTTTTTTTTTTCTCTCCATTTTTCATATTTTATATAATTTTTATGTTCTGATAATTACAATTTATAGTAGTTCTTGTCATTTCATAACCAATCTTTGTTCTGACACTGTTATTAGGTACTGAAATGGTACTCGCATTGTCACACACACTGACAGGTGGACATTTACACCTGCCTTAGTCATTTACTATTATCTTTGAATATATACAAAGTATTTATAGGTCCCAGCAATGTTTTGGATATGTGGAAGTATATAATAATAATAAGGAGAAGGAGGAGGAGGAGAAGCAGGAGAAGAAGAATAAGTAATAATAATAAGTTCCCTTGAAGCATGAAAAACAAAGTCCACCCCTGACAGTGACGTGATAAGAAGAGATAACATTTGATAAGCGCTGACGTTTGATGAGCATTCGCGAGGGTGCAGTGATAAGACTTGATAAGAAAAGATTAGGGCCTGCTTTGTTTTTGCTGGTACACAAACATGTCTGTCTATTTGTCTGTCAAGCTCCCTGTCTGTCTGTCTATCCATCTAGCTCTCTGTCTCAGAGAGTCACAAGACTGCATCGTCATCACATTTACTCGCATCTTCAAGCAGAGTATAGCACTTTGTCTGGATTTTTTGGGTTATCCTAGGTAATTTACACTATGTATACTTGTATTTATATGTACTTGTGAGACAGAAATACAGACAGATAGAAAGAGATAGAGATAGACAAATAGACTGACACAACGATAGAGAGATAGATAGAGACAGATAGACATAGATACAGACAGACAAATGGAGATAGAGCCAGGGCGCCAGCAGCTGGCCAGCCAGCTAGCTAGCCAGCCAGCCAATCACCCAGTCAGGCAGCCAGCCAGCAAGCCTGCCAGCCAGCCAGAATTGTTTCTCTTTACTTAGGGCATAGGTTATAAGACATTCTGAAAGGGTGTTGCACAAATATTGCACATGGGTTATTATTGTTTTTTTTTATATTTCCTTGACCACTTGTGGCCACATCCACCTCAAAGCCACTAAACTCAGGGTCAAAACCACTTTCCTCTTAAAACAGGAGTGTTAATACTACATGACATCAGTGAATCTCAGGTGTTTGCTGCGCTGTTTGCTCTAGCTGGCGCTCATTTGAACTGGTGCTCCCACAAGGTACTAAGAGGTCCCAGATTTTTTTTAATACCGCATACTGAGTGTTAGAACCTATTCTATGCTGACAAGGCATCTCAGGCCAATCGTGCCAAATTTGAAGGCAGGAAAAATAAAACGTATATATACATTTGGGGCACTAGTGGTAAAAACGTAAATATACGTTTGGACCGTTTACGGGTTAACACAGCTTCTTTCCTCAGCTTAGTGTTGCTTTCTTTGCAAACATTGTGTCTTAACTCATCTCTCTTTTCACATTTGCCATTTCCCACAAAGGTAGGATGTTTAAAAGAAGTAAACCCATTTAGCATCATTCATTCATTAGCTGTTTTTCCAAAAAAGCACGAACTGCACACACTAAAAGACTTTCTGAACTGCAACATTCCACTTGTCCTTCATAGTGCAAGCACTACTTCACACCTCCAGAACTCAAGCTTGGCATATCACTATCATATAGAATTGATTTGATCTTGTTCCTTGCATAGCTATATCCTTACACCATTGTGCTTCTTACCTTGCAGTCTTGTCTTACATAATTTAGTTGATCTGTTCTGAGTTGGCTTTACACTATTGTTATGAAGACCACTTTTTCACTATCACTTTAAATTTGTTGCCAGTACAGTGCTAATTTCTGGCTTCTAGTTTGCCATCAGTGTTATTACATACCTTACATTACCAGAATTCCTGCTGTTGCAATTAGTGCTGATCACTTCAGCACTAATGGCTGAAGTGATCAGCACTATTGTTATATTTATTGAAATACTAATACATACTGCATAATTTTATTAAAATATATATACATTGATCATGTCTGTGTAAATGTAGATAGAGAAAAGGATTGAATAATCTGCTCTTTTTATACTCTTTAACAAAAAAACTGTTTAGGAAATAATTACTTCCATCAAATAATGTTATGCATACATTTCTGTATTAAGTATGATTAAAAGTTCATGTACTATTCCATATTTTTTACAGTGGTTGGAAGCATGGAAAATGTGAATCATAGTGATAGCCGGTCTTCTCTCAACACCTCTCTCTCTAACAGTTCCCAGGATGTCACCCGCATTGATGAACATGGATCCAGGTATTTGAAGCTTATTGCTTATTAATGTAATTGCTGATAATTTTTTTCATTTTAGTACACCTGTTGAGCACAATTTGCAATGGTGTATTAAGGCTTGAAGTCCATGAAATGTGAATTTCTAAATGGTGGGTTTAGTATTAAGTAGGAAATTTTGAATTACTTTTCTCTCTTAATGATCATTGCTCAACATTAAAATTATGCCGAAGCTACATTCCAAGAAGCTTTTTACACTGTGAAGATTGTTCATTTATAAATATAATACTTTTGTTTTAATGTAGTTTATAAGCAAAAATGTTGTGTATAATAAACTTTTGTTTAGTTTAGCAGGAAATAATAATTATGGACTAGGAATTGCAGAAGACCTAATTTAAAAAACTGTACTTTGACTTCTGTAATTTATGTTGGGATTTTTGGGGAGCATTTAAGTTTTTAATTTTTAAGCTTTTATCCATGAACAAGTGAGACAGGGCACACTAGTTACTGAGATGGAAGGATAAGCAAGCTGGCAAGAGATCAAGTAAGCAAGCACGATGGCAATCCTGTCTTCATTGTATAGTTTGTTGTATACAGTAGACCATCGTTTAACATGGTAGTTATATTTCTGAAAATGTCGTGGTAGTTAAAACCGTGTTAGGCAAACTGAAGAACTTGTGGGAAAAATAGGGGTACATTCCTGGGAGCCCCCCAAAAAGCCAAACAACTTTTTTATACCAACAAATTTTACAAAAATGAAAGTGAATATGTAATTGTAGTTCATTGTCGTGATGTATTATGTTGTTTTTACTGTTGAAGATTACAGATGCAACAGAAATAATAGTATTTCTTTCCTTATATTGTGGGACCTAGTGTTTGTGGATGACTGTGGAGTTATGCAGTGGCCCTACTGGGCTGAGGTGGATGGTAGGGGTTCTGGTACTGAAGTCGATGGTTGTACTGGAAGTGTGCATAAATTCTGTACCCCACAGTACATTATACAACTGATGGTAAGGGATCAGTTGCTCTAGACACCATTTCAGGGTCCTCTTCAGTGAAAAAGTCTAATTTTAAGTCAGTAAGCCAGTCAGTTAGTCAGTAAGTCAGTCATCAGTCAGCAACACTTGTATGCCTACTGAGTGCGATGATTGCTTGGCAGATTTAAGATATGGTAATTAAAGGATCTAAACTCGGTCCACAAACAGAAATAAATGACGCTTCAAATTTTTTTCCCTCCCGCAAACTGAACCATGTTAAGTTAATATGCCACAATTCTTCAGTAGTGCTATAATCAAAACTTGCCAGAAAAAACCGTGTTAAACAATTGTCTGCTGTAATTTTGTTGAATTTCCAGTGGTTGTAGCTCTTTCTAAATCCTGGAACCCATCCTATTGTATTTCTTTCAACAAACTGGCCCTATCACACCGAGGCAGGGTGGCCCCCCAAAAAAATGAAAGTTTCTCTTTTTAATTTTAACAGTATATACAGGAGAAGGGGTTACTACACCCTTGCTCCTGGCATTTTAGTTGCCTCTTACGACACACACGGCTCATGGAGGAAGAATTCTGTTTTACTTCTCCATGAGATAAGAGGAAATAAACAAGAACAAAACTAGTAAGAAAATAGAAGAAAACCCAGAGGGGTGTATATATATATGCTTGTACATGCATGTGTAGTGTGACCTAAATGTAAGTAGAAGTAGCAAGCTCTACCTGAAATCTTGCATGTTTATGAGACAGAAAAAAGATGCCAGCAATCCTACCATCATGTAAAACAATTACCGATTTCCATTTTACACTCGCATGGCAGGACGGTAGTACCTCCCTGGGTGGTTGCTGTCTACCAGCCTACAACCTAGGACCAACCTACTACCTAGGTCTTTATTTTTACCCCCTCTTATTTGTGAATCCACACTTTATGAACCCATAGATTGTGATTTAGAAATGTACAGTACTGGGTAGTGTAGTAGAAATATCAGGTAGGGAATTTGAAAAGAGCTACGAGTCATATAGATGAATTCCATTGTTAAGAAGATAGCTATGAGTCGCATAGATGAATTCCATTAAGAAGATAGCTGTGAGTCACATAGAAGATAGATTTTAAGTTTTAACAAATTTACATTCTCTTAATATTGACACTGTATTAATTTTTGTTGCCATTCACAATGTGATCTAATGAAAGTTGTGATTTTTTTTCCCATTTGATTCTGGTTTCCATTATATACATTTGAAAGAAAGCTGAATTGAAAAATAAGCAGCAGTTACAAATATTAAAATTCATAGATAAGAAATACTGTTAAATGAGGTCGACTTGTAATAGTTTATATTTATATTTACCAGAATTGTGAGGTCAGAATTTTCCTAATTTTTATATTTACTTTGAGAAGTTGCACCAATATGCTTTGAGCTGCTCTTGAGTGTGCAGTATTTATAATTTAATCTTTTACAGTCGCACATTTAGGTTCTAGGAGCCAAGTTTTTGAATCATAACATATACGAGCCCAGCCTGTGCATAATGGGCAGTAGGATATAAAATAAAATTTGCACATAGATGAATTTGAAATGTAAAACTCTCATACTAAGGGAATTCAACTACTTAAAAGGAAATTATCACAAATCCATTTTTTTTTTTAACTTTGCAGATTTCCTGAAATTAAAGCTTTGCGGCTAGAGAAAAAATCTCGGGAGGAGGGTGATGATGGAGATAACAAGAAACGTCGAGGCAAAGGGGCAGGTCTGAAGGCTAAATTATTTGGAAGTAAGTTAAATTATTCTGTTGTCACTGTACTGTATTTTGAATTTCAGAATCATTTACATACCTGAAGCTTACACTTGATTGAATCAATCCTTTCTGTAGACAGTCGTGAACGCGTTGGTGAGGAAGATGGGAGAGTTGTGGAAGGAGGTAATGATCGTTTGCCACACCCCCCCACACATCAGTCGAGACTACCACAAGAAATACATAATAAATTTGCAGGAAAGTCTCGAGAGGTAAATTTGAATTTGTGGTAAAGTTTTAAAAGATAAACAGGTATAAAAGTACTACTCTCTTTTTCCATTTGAACATTATATTTGGTGTATGGTATATGAAACTGTATGACAGCCTAGGTGCATTAAATTGATTTTATATATTCTTAACAATTAAACCTGCTTAACACGGTCAAAAACAATCTGACTAGATCATCTCTTGCAACACTTGTCTTCAAGCATCTTAGTTCCTAATACGTATTACACTGCCATGTTATGTAGTTTTTCGTATTACCGTAAACAAACCTTCCTTCAAAAGGAAGCAGTCCTTGAAGTTGGTGAACTCGCTTCAAGAAAAGTTCCTTGGTACTGATTACCTGCCATTTCCCAACATTATATGACTCCCTCTTGGTTTAGATCTTCCCCTTGACTGATAATAATAGCTACTATAGACTTATACTACAACAGCATTTGCTCATTCAAATAAACATTCTATGGGCATGTATGTCTCTTTATTGAAACTTTCTTATTAATCATTCTATAGCTTGCTAAATATCTGGTATGTGTAGTATTGTATTTGTCATGACCCCCTTCCCTGGTTCCTCTGTCCTCCAGTGTCCTTGTACCTCGTACCCCTTAGCTCAGGAAGAAGCCTTGTTGCATGTTTTGTGTACATCTGTGCGTTCACGTGTGTCATGAGGTGAATCCGTATCCACGGATTTGGTTTCTGTGGTTTCAGTTATCCACGTTTACTGTGGCCCAAAGTAACCCTTAATTTTGCTTAATAACGGATTCAAGGTGCAAAAATAGCGATAGTGGCAGTTCTAAGAGAAGCTGTGAAGTGCTTCCCATCAGTCAAAAAAGTGCTAATTCTTCACTTATTATGAGTAATTTATCAATTAAACTTTATCATAGTTATGTATGTAAACAAAAAAAATTCCTTATATTTCGGGTTTGCTACTATCTGTGGTTTCGGGTATCCACGATAGGTCTTGAAACGTATCCCCCCACAGATAAGGGGGGGATGAGAGGGGGTGACTGCTGTATATGCAGTATATCTGATTTGTTGTACTATTTAATTTTAATAACATAAGTAATTTCCATAGGATTTATTGGAAATGATTGTGAACCTACAATCAAACTTGGAGAAAAGTGTACGCCACACACGAGATCTAGAGGACTACATTGATGGCCTTCTCCTGCGTGTGATGGAGACCACACCCCAGATACTTCAAGCTCCAGTCACCAAGAACAAAAAACTTAAGTACGTATATAAATTTCTCATGTTTAAGATTAGAATTAGGCAGTCACTCCAGGGGTGATGTGGCTGCACAGGAGGTGCTGTGAACCATAGTGCTGTCAGCATTTGAATTTTGATAAAAACAGCCTTAAAAAAATTTTTTTTTTTTTTTACCTGTTTTTTATATTGATATTTTTTTACATAAAATATTAGGAATTTCAGGATGTTTCAGCAATATGTGGTTGTTACTGATGGGCTTTTTTACCACAGCTCCTTGTATACCTTGTGACTAAAATAGTAAAATATTTCATTATGCTAGAGTTTCCAATACATTATTCACATTACCATGTAATGTGAATAATGTATTGGAAAATTAGAGTTCTGTTCTTAACGCCTCCAAGAAAGCAAAATAGATTTTTTAAGCTAAATATTTTGTTAAAAATGAAGATTTTTAGACACCTTACATTGGAGATGTATGTTGTGTACCTAAAACTTAAATAAAACCTTATTAAATTTACATAGGGTGTTTTGAGGCATGGTGTTCCTTCCAGAGATAATAGAGAAGGCTAACACACTGCCACTTAAAAATTTAATACACAATCTAGTTAGCATAAAATATGCTAAAAAGTAACATATTTTGATATTCTTTGTTATTCTTTGTTGATATTTAAGTGTTTGGATATTGTTATATAGCTCAGTTGAGCAGTGGATGGTTTTGGGTAGTCTTTTTCATCTCTGCAGCCTCTCTCACATTTTGTTTTACAACATTCTTGTTTACAATAATGGCAAGAAATAATTTTATTTTACCTCAAATTTCTTTTTCCTCTTACTTGTTGATAAAAATGTTTTTGAAGATGGTTATATGATGACTGAGTGGTAGATAGCTGCGAGTCTTATGCTTTATCTGCTGATTGCTGTGGTTTGTCTTCTTAAAGGTTTGTAGCATATGCCCTATTGAGCCAGGGTCAGCAGCTAGCTTTCTCCAGGCCATAAAAATTGCTGAACAGAAATCTGCATGCATATCTGAATTTTGTTCAGTGGAACCTCTACTTGTAAGTTTAATCCATTCCATGACCTTGCTCACAACTGGATTTGCTTGTTTGCAGAGTCAATTTTCCTCATTTAAATTTACTGAAATGTAATTAATCCGTTCTAGTGGAATTCTGTACTTGAATAATTTCGCTAATATCAACTCTACGGCTTATTTATCTATCTCACTTCATCTAATATGACATAATAAACAATATAAATAATATAGAAACATGATATATACAGGTCTCCCTCAACATTCGCGAGGGTTAGGGGATCAAGAGCCTCGCGAATGTTGAAAAACCGTGAATGTTTGGTGCCCCAATATATTGTAGGGAAATATAATACAATACTGCTTCCTTAACTTGTTGAACCATGAACAATCATAAAATACATGAAAACGTCGTAAATTGTACTAAATATATACATGTTATGCTTTAATAACATGTATGTTATTAAATACCACAGACTCCACCAATGCCTCCACCACTTCCCCAACCACTGCGAGTCCCTATTACCCTCCCTCCGACCCCCGCAACTGGCAGCCAGCCCTCCCACCACTCAGTGTGGTGAGTGTTTTGTTTGTTCATTAAATGGAGATAAGAGGAAATAAACAAGAAAAAGAACTAGAAAGAAAATAGCAGAAAACCCAGAGGGGTGTATATATATATGCTTGTACATGTATGTGTAGTGTGACCTAAGTGTGAGTAGTAGCAAGACATGCCTGAAACCTTGCATGTTTGAGACAGAAAAATGGCCACCAGCAATCCTACCATCATGTAAAACAATTACAGGTTTACATTTTACACTCATTTGGCAGGACAGTAGTACCTCCCTGGGCAGTTGCTGTCTACCAACCTACTACCTTGTATTATTATACATATTATTATTATATAAATAATTTGTAATTTTTATTCACACAAAAAATATAAGATTTACTGTTATTCCTTATTGCAATAATTGTATAAATAATGTCAACCCATTCACGACTGCATACTGGAATGGACAGTGTCGTCATTTGTTTACTCTGAAAGTCAAGCAATGGACAATTTCTCCTAGGTTGAGCTCTATTTCAAGGTACTTTTCGTCGTGAAAGCAATTAAAATCATATCTATTTCTGTAATATAGCCGGACTTGAGTCATGGAAATGGGAAGTACAATGCCTGAACTCTAAAGGAGGGGTTCGGGATATTAGCAGTTTGGAGGGATATGTTGTGTATCTTTATACGTATATGCTTCTAAACTGTCGTGTTCTGAGCACCTCTGCAAAAACAGTGATTATGTGTGAGTGAGGTGAAAGTGTTGAATGATGATGGAAGTATTTTCTTTTTGGGGATTTTCTTTCTTTTTGAGTCACCCTGCCTCGATGGGAGACGGCAGACTAGTTGAAAAAAAAAAAATCTCCATTCTATCAAATGAGACCAAAAAAACAAGAATACAACCATAAAAACCATTCGAAATTACCGCAGAGAGGTGGCTAATTGCCGAGAAGTGAACTCCATTATTTATGCTTAGATTTCTTTCATTTTTGGTGTACATTAAGAAGCATCTTTCCATCATACATTGCCCAAGTTTCAATAAGATAGTCCAACAAACAAATGAGATACAATTCCCGAGATCAAGAGCAAGAATCCCTCACCAGTGTCAAGGAACCTGCCTTGAGGTCTGCTCGCTTATGGAAATTTTGCTCGCGTATGGAAGCAAAAAATCGACCCATCGACTGCTCGTATTTGGGAAAACTCGCACGTGGACATGCTCGCAAGTAGAGGTTCTACTGTATTTGTCAAGACATCCTGTTGCCTGTTTTTCTCTATTATTTATTGTTAAATTTACATTTTTACTAGTTTGTGTAACCTAATCAAACCTAAAATAAAATTAATAATTTTTTCTGTATACAGGGAATGTTTTGATATTGATGGTGGGTAATGTATATGAAAAGAAAAGGTACAAAATTAAAATGAGTTGGTATGTAAAACAAATTTCTAGCAACAGTTATTTACTGTGTCTAAATGTTTATCTTTCAGAGTGTTTGGTCCCCACTGAATATACTGAAAGATTGAATGGGAAGTAAAGCTGCCCTCTTCCAGACTTTGTCCTATTGTCTTTGATGAAAAGATGGCCATTTTTCACAAAGGTCCACATGGTCTTCCAGGTTAGTTAGCATATCTGGTAAGAATTAGTGAGACAGCTGTTAGTTAGTAACACCAGTGATATAGAATATTGCACTTCTCTTAGAAAGTTGCATCATAAGGATGTTTAGTTTTATTGGTTGTGAAGTAGTACTGTTAAAGAAGGGTTTATAATCACCTGTTAATTATAGAGCAAGAAAAAACCCACTTACTGATATTTCATGAAAAAGTAGAAAGCTGTTGGTTGATAGTTGTGATGAATATTAGTATATAGTGGTCAGTTTTAGGAGTGTCCAGGAAGTGGAATATTAAAAATACTAAAATTGAAAGGCATTGTGATGTTTTATTTATTTGAGAATTTGAAACATTCCTGTAAGTGCTTTTATTTAAAGGTGTTATAATTTTGGTGGAATATTGTATATATTTATGCAGTACAGGACTACAGTTCAGCTTGCACATTAAAACAGCACTTTTACTAAATGAGTGTTGCTGGGTAAATTTATTAATTTTTATATAGCAAATATTTCTCCTGGTGTAATATATTCATTCCCAAGTAGGTAAGGCTATACAAAATACAATACTGAATATATAAGTACAGCCGTTAACATCCTGCAGTCCATTTAGTAGATTATTTTTGTGTCTTAAGGTAGATTTCGATTTTTTATATATTCACTTGCTGGCTATATAATGTATTTTCTTAACACTGTAAAGTAGCTTTACTGTATATTTATATAATGAAGCACATCAAGACAGTTATTTTAACAGGAGAAAGCATATACAAATGAGACGCTTACCACTGGTTTTAAAATACATTATAATATTTATTGACTAAAATATTACATAAACATGTTATAAAAATAATCATTACAGATTATAGTAGATATTTTTTTTTTTTTTTTTTTTTTCAACAAGTCGGCCGTCTCCCACCGAGGCAGGGTGACCCAAAAAAGAAAGAAAATCCCCAAAAAGAAAATACTTTCATCATCATTCAACACTTTCACCACACTCGCACATTATCACTGTTTTTGCAGAGGTGCTCAGAATACAACAGTCTAGAAGCATAAACATATAAAGATACACAACATATCCCTCCAAACTGCCAATATCCCAAACCCCTCCTTTAAAGTGCAGGCATTGTACTTCCCATTTCCAGGACTCAAGTCCGACTATATGAAAATAACCGGTTTCCCTGAATCCCTTCACTAAATATTACCCTGCTCACACTCCAACAGATCGTCAGGTCCCAAGTACCATTCGTCTCCATTCACTCCTATCTAACACGCTCACGCACGCTTGCTGGAAGTCCAAGCCCCTCGCTCATAAAACCTTTACCCCCTCCCTCCAACCTTTTCGAGGACGACCCCTACCTCACCTTCCTTCCCCTACAGATTTATACGCTCTCCTTGTCATTCTACTTTGATCCATTCTCTCTAAATGACCAAACCACCTCAACAACCCCTCTTCAGCCCTCTGACTAATACTTTTATTAACTCCACACCTTCAAATTTCCACACTCCGAATTTTCTGCATAATATTTACACCACACATTGCCCTTAGACAGGACATCTCCACTGCCTCCAACCGCCTCCTCGCTGCTGCATTCACAACCCAATCTTCACACCCATATAAGAGTGTTGGTACTACTATACTTTCATACATTCCCTTCTTTGCCTCCATAGATAACGTTTTTTTGTCTCCACATATACCTCAACGCACCACTCACCTTTTTTCCCTCATCAATTCTATGATTAACCTCATCCTTCATAAATCCATCCGCCGACACGTCAACTCCCAAGTACAGTGGTCCCTCAATAATCGTCCGGCCTGAAAGTCGTCCATTTCGGAAATAGTCCTGTTTTTTCGTCAAAATATTGGCTTGCAAATGGTCTGGTAACTCGCTAATAGTCCTAATAGTCCTTTGTCCCGGATGCGTACTCACGCTCTGAGCCACCTCGGCCTTTCCTTCCCAGCCAGTGTGCCATTGTTTACCAGTGAGTGACGGTCCCCTCGCATGCTCCTACGAAATATTTCATAATATTCCATTAATTTAATGCTTGCAAGTGCTAAATAAGCTACCATTGCTCCAAATAAAGCTTCTAGTGCCAGCCCTTTGGTAAAGAATGTGAGAAACACATAATTTATGAAAAAGTTTGTAGAAAAATTCAAAGATGGTGGTGGTAGAATGGAAGCAGTTGTGATAGTGGTTGATGAACATAAGAAAGGAGGATCACTGCAGCAGGCCTGTTGGCCCATGCTCGGCAGGTCCTTTACAGTTCATCCCACTAACGAAACATTTTCCCAACCCAGTCCTCAATGCTACCCAAGAAATAAGCTCTGATAACTCTATCCACTCATTTGCAAGTCCCACTCAAATCCAACAGCTGTGTAGGTGAAATGTTTCGAGATAAAGATACCTAACTGTTGCATATGTGTCTTACCTAACAACATTGGACGAGTTGTAGATGAATGGTTCAAAGAACTGATATGTGTCTAATTTAACATTGGAGGAGTTGATTGGTGAACATTTAACCAACTCCACCTTCACCACCATTATTGACAGCTTACACTCAGTGGCCCTTATATACCCAACAACAACACAACACAACACCTCTCGTGACATACGTAATGACTTACTTTATTCATTCTAGAGTATATTCCATGTTTCTATGTTATTAATATTGTTTATTATGTCATATTAGTTGAATTGTGATAGATAAATAAGCCATAGAGTTGATATTAGTGTCATATTCTCCAACAATAAACTTGCCATCCCTCCCTCACACAAACAAATAGCCAGTAAGAACATAACAATGGAAGAACACTGCAAGTCTACTGGCCCATACAAGGCAGGTCCTTATCAAAATGACCTCCACCCAAAGCTACCCAAGAATTTACTCCCGTACCCAATGACACAAATCAAACTCAGCTCCTCCAACTCGTATATTTGTCCAATCTCTTCTTAAAGCTACCCAAGGTCCTAGCCTCGATCACACTACTGGTAAGTGTGATGTTAAATAAGAAATTAAGAAAGTAGGAACACTGGAACAGGCCTGCTGGCCCATACTAGGCTGGTCCTTCACAAATCCAACCCACTAACAGAACAAATGCTACCCAAGCAATAAGCTCAGGTGCAAGTTCGACTCAAATCCAACCCCTTTCACTCGTGTATTTATCCAACCTAAATTTGAAACTACCTAAGCCATAGCTTTTAGAACATTGGAAAGGAGGAACACTGCAATAAGCCTGTTGGCCCATATTAGGCCGGTCCTTCACAAATCCAACCCACTAACAGAACAAATGCTACCCAAGCAATAAGCTCAGGTGCAAGTTCGACTCAAATCCAACCCCTCTCACTCGTGTATTTATCCAACCTAAATTTGAAACTACCTAATGTTTTAGCTTCGATCACCCTACTAGGCAGACTGTTCCACTCATCAACTACCCCTATTACCAATGTTCATTTATACATTTTATTAGTGCCCTAGAGTCCTTATGGAGGGGGATTCCCCTTCCAAATAACCTCTCTTCCCTCTCTCTTCCTCCCTGTCTTCCATTCATCAACAACAGCCTTCAATAAAGGTAACTGTCATGTTGAATGTTCGTTCTTTTGTGCATGTAAATGTATCTTTTAGGTAAAAAAAAAAATTTTTTGTTGATACTTCTGGGTGTCTGGAATGAATTAATTGGATTTACATTATTTCTTATGGGGAAAATTGATTCGAAAATCATCCATTTCGATAATAGTCCCACTTCCAGGAACGGATTATGGACGATTATTGAGGGACCACTGTATCTGAAAACATTCACTTCTTCCATACTCCTCCTCCCTAATTTGATATCCAATTTTTCTTTATCTAAATCATTTGATACCCTCATCACCTTACTCTTTTCTATGTTCACTTTCAACTTTCTACCTTTACACACACTCCCAAACTCGTCCACTAACCTTGGCAATTTTTCTTTAGAATCTCCCATGAGCACAGTATCATCAGCAAGAAGCAACTGTGTCAATTCCCATTTTGTACAAAATGGGTGTGCAGACTTATGCATATAAAATTTTCTTGTAATTGAATGTGTTTTGCCGAGTCTTGTATCAAGCCAAATCATGCACATCTGCATGAAATATTTAAGCAGAGACTAACATATTGGTAACTATTAAAAGATCTCGAGTATTAAATGTTTTCCTTTAAATGTGCAAGACATTGTTACTGAAAGTGATTTGTGTATGGTTAGCAGAGGAAGAAATTTGTTGAAAGCAGGGATTTACTTAAGTATTGGTATCAGTGGGTATCTGGTAATGTTGCTGGTATCAATATTTGTATCAGCCTAAAATTGAGTATCAGTGGGTATCAGCCAGTCAGACTTGGGGGCATCTTCAACAAGTGTCCTAGTATATATCACATAAAATCTCATGTAAATGAGGAATCCTGCAAATGATAATAGAAAATATTTAGTACTGTTGAAACATTTTGTAACATTGTGATAGCTACATGCAGATTTTTTTTATCTGTAAATGCAAGAATGATATTCTTGAACATCATATTTAAAGTACAGTTCAAATTTTGTATAATATAGGTTTTCTTGTTTGGGTGAAAATAGCCTACATGACTAACACCACACCATGCTCTTATGTTGACAGTCCAACCTTTCATTAGGTCTATCATTATTTTAGGTTTTGCTTTATTGATTGTACACACAAATGCATGTGCTACTCAAAATTTGAAAATTGTATAAAATTGTGTATGATTAATTAAAGAGACCTGGACATCTTAATTAAGAACTGGACACCAAGCATAGCTCTAATCTGGAAGATACAAACAAATAATAACATGTGCAAAGATATGAACATATATCTTTGTACGTAGCATGTTATGACTACAGTACTGGAGTCTGTAAATCAGCAAAACCACTAATATCTTAAGTATTGATATGACAGGTTTAACCAGGATGAGTCAAGATTTGAGTTGTGTTGTCTTACACAGTTCTGTATTTTGTCTAAAAGTATGAGTCAGGATGGGAGGCATGGATGAAAGTGATACATAATCTAGAAGTGAGTAAATGTATACTGTTATCAGAGATTACAAATTTTTGCTGTTAAGCAGGAATATGTGCCTTGACAGTTTTTTTTTTTTTTTTTTCCTTGAACACAAAATTCAGCACAATGTTATTATTACTTCAGTTAAATTGTACTCGATGATATCCAAGTTATCACTGAATCCCAAGTCTCGTCAGTTCATCTTCACATCAGTCTCACAAGCGATTATTAATTTCTAGTGACTGATGTAGTCATAACCTACCTCAGGCAAATATATGGTAGCTGCAAGTTGACGACTGATAAACTTTAGAGCAGTGGGAATCAAATTACAGAAGTCTGATGTTCCTGACACTCCACAAGGTGTAGAATGGAGCCAGACACACCAAGTGCTCATATTTTGCCAAGAGGCAGTGGTTTTGTACTTAATTGAAAAGTTGTTAATGTTTTTACAAGAATATGGCTGATTTTTTAATCATCCCATGACTGGTACCAGTTAGCGGAGAGGCTTAACAACCAACCAACTGCAGAGTGATCTTGTTTTGAAGCTAACTGTTGGTAGTACAATAGTGAAAAAAAGAAAAATGAAAGTTTCTCTTTTTAATATTAGTAATGTATACAGGAGAAGGGGTTACTAGCCCCTTGCTCCTGGCATTTTATTCGCCTCTTAAGACACATGGCTTATGGAGGAAGAAAGCTGTTCCACTTCCCCATGGAGATAAAAGGAAATAAACAAGAAAAAGAACTAGCAAGAAAATAGAAAACCCAAAGGGGTGTGTGTATATGCTTGTATGTGCATGTGTAGTGTGACCTAAGTAGAAGTAGCAAGACATACCGCAAATCTTGCATGTTTATAAGACAGAAAAGACACCA